AAGAGGTAAAAGCGGATAGAAATAACAACATAATGCAAATAAACACCTAGAATTCTAGAGGGGCAAAGAGATAACTGAAAATTCAGACTGTATACACTTGAGAAAATACTCCATGTCAATTCATCAAAAATATTATTTTGAAATACTCATTCCCTGGATTCTGTTCAGAATTCAAACCCTTACAAAATGCAGTTTCCCCCAGCAGTACCAACAGATCTATGAACAGATGGAGCCACTTGCAAATAATCATTCGTTTCATCTATCAAACGTAACAAATTATCAAAACACTTACCTCTTTGTCATGTAATACTTAAATGTTTCTGTGACCAGAAAGATGTAGTTCTTGAATTCCATTTTCATTACCTTAGATTTCAAAAGTTTAGGTAGCTGGTCAAAATACCCTAGGTCCCTTGGCCTTGTGAGTATTATTCTTAAAATTGTTTACTCTAGCCTTATCCTGACTAATGTGTTTTCCTGGAAAATATAACTTCAATCGTACATGGATCTTTACAGAGAAGCTTGTCAACTTTTACATACTGCCTTGGTGGGGAGTGAGTGGTGGACAACATAGATAGTAGAAGGGAGCGAATTTGCTTTAGTTAAGCTTATGATAACTCAAGTTGGCTATTTAAGGATAAGGACTTCGCAAGGGTGGGAGCTTTATTCATGATCCTTGTGTTCGGCATTAGATCTATATTATCTAAAACTTGAACAGTGAGACAACAAAACAATTACCAAGACGTTCTCGCTCCCCATCAGCGTACCTAATTATTAAGGGAACCTCACCCTGCAAGCAAGAAATATATACAAACCGAGTAAGAGGAGATCAATAATTTCTTGAGAGGGTAATGATTTTAACTTCAAAACTGAGAAGGAAACTCACCCCAGGGAAAGTATATCGACCATGGAATGCTCCAATCGCCCTATCAGCTTCATCTAGCGTGCTATACTTCACAAAACAGCATTCTGAAGTGTAAATACATTATTCATTTTTATTCTGTTTAGGGAAAAATATTCACCTTTATCTGACGTCTATACTTGTCAAAAAGATCATATTATACTTCTAGGATGATACATGTGCCGAGAATATAGTGAATGTCAACAGCAGAAAATAGCAAGGAGGAGGAATAAGATTAAATCCTGGTATTTTAAATGATCCAGAGTAATTTAAATTGCAATTTAAATTCTTTGAATTGCTTTACGAATAAATAACCCAGTGCAGATGGCATGACATTTGATAAAGCAACACCATCACTGTAAACTATAACAAGTACACTACCAGATGGCCTGGCAACGGCAACAATTACCACATTCCTCTACCTTTCCTCAAACCAGTGGATTTATCCTTGAGCCGAACAACCTCAATAATATTCCCATGTTCAGCAAAAACAGAACGAACCTGAATTGAAAGAGGCATGTGTTAATATGTAGGAATACTTTCGAAATGCCCAGATGATGAACATAGTCAAACATGGAATCTGCAAGGACTTGAGTGATGAAATTTCAAATAGTTAAACATCCCAGAAAAATGGGAAGTTACTGGATCATTGGACAGGGAAAAGACCCTCATTGAAGTTGGACGAAAGCACGTGGTTAACCCATTCTTCCAACAGGGATGAGACTATCTGTTGGTTTTCTGCACGTAGTTTGGGACTGAGGTGTAGTTGATTGATTTTAATTGAATACCATGGATACCATATGGTCCATAACATATCCATTTAATTCAAGACAAAAGAAGTATCTACGTAAAATATAGGACACCTAGAAATTCCAAAGATAGAGGAGTATACTCTACTTTACACAAGTTGTTTTGTGATATTGCAACTTATGTACAATTTAATAAGTTTTGAGGCAAAAAAGAAAATAGCTAATTGATATCCAGAACAAATATTTTAAAAATGGACCTTTGACAAAAGGGAAGACAGCATGAACTTAATTCAAAGTAGTAGCCTAGTCTTAGTAGATGCAATGACCACAGTATGTTGCTAAAATGACTGGAATATACATCACCTATGTACTCTGCCGGTTGGTTGTTAGATCGTAAACCATGAGTCGCTTTTCATATGTAACTACCCACCAACAATATTTTCACCATACATAGATGCAAATGGAGAAGTATTAATATAGGTGATACCAACTAGATTGATTAACATTTAATCTTTGTTGGTACAATTTTTCTTCAGTAACAAAAACTTTCATTAATAAACACCAAGTTACTGTAAAAAAAGTACGGGCAAGGTGTGTATATGCCTCAGGTAGAGCCGTAGAGTCATCCATTGTCTCAATAAATATCACATTAGTAAACTTACATTAACTATGATATTCTCCTGGCATTTTTTGCATTTGGTCAGAGATTTGCATGTCATTGTAGGTTACCTGTGAGGTTTCTAGAATCTCTAGATTTATAAGACATTTAAGAAGGCCTCAAAAAATCAATTATTAGAACTGGAACGAGTGCCTAGCTAATTGAAGCAGAATGGATGTAGAGGCTTTCTTTTTAGATGAAGATGGATATAGATATAGAGGCTTTATATGGCCGACCTCAACTACTTTGGGGTTGACGCTAATAGTAGTAGTTCTTGTTGGTTATTATATCTAAGCTCTTAAAAGCCTCAAGTCCCACTCTTAAGCATAACTCATAGTGTGCAGAAGTCCACTTTGTCGATACAACTAAGTGCCAACAGAACACTAGGTTTTTATGGCTCAGTGGTCAATAAAGTGGGAGGAAAAGCATGAGATCTCAGGTTCAAATGTCATAGGAGGCAAAACATAGGAGGCAAAACATAGGAGGCAAAACACTGGGAGATTTCTTCTCATCTGCCTAAGCTTTGGTGGGCAAAATTTAGCGGTATCTGTGCTAGTGGGAGGTAATTCGGTGGAATACTCGAAGTGTGTGCAAGCTGACCCAGACACCACCATCATAAAAAACAACACACAACATAACAAGGAAAAAAGATATCATTATTCAAAATACTTAATGACAGAGACTTACGTCTTCTTCTTCGGCTGGTCTTGGTACTCCTACAACATAGAGTTTCACAAATCCAAAACGAACCTGAGAGTCTAAAAGGTTTTCCAAAATTTAGAAAGTCATGCTTGTGAAATACAGCTACAGCTTACAAACACCGAGTAAAATACAACATGCTCAACATTTGGCTCTTTCGCTTCCAGGATTCAACTAAATGAACTTTTACCAACATTTTGGAATGTATCTTTCCACCAATATTACACAGGGAGAATTTTGACTTACAATACTCTTTTCTATAGTTTCCAAAATATCCAAATTTTAGTTGAGTTTAAGTTTTATGCACTGACAGCATAAAAAATTTCTATGCAATCAGGTCACTTATTGCAGGTAACTCCATCTAATAAGCATTAGTTGATAACCTATACTAAATCATCAAAAAAAAAAAAGGTTACTAAATCATCATAACCTACTATAACAGGTTAAAATTGCATGGATAGTGTAAAAAAAACTTTACACCTCAATGTATATAACTTTTACCAATATTTTAAAATGCATCTTTCTACCACTTAACTTAGAATACTCTTTTCTATAGTTTCCCAAAAAAAACTAATTGAGTTGAAAGTTCTATGAACTCACCGTGTAAAGATTTTGTACACAACCATGAAGCTTAAAAGGTAATTGCAGGTAACTCCATTTAATAAGCATTAATCGGTAAATTATAGTAAATGGTACGTAACCTAATATATCAGCTTAAATCTCCCTGTCAATATATATATATAACTTAAACTCTTTTTATTTTTAACTCAAACTCATTTTAATTTTAAAAAAAATGAAATAATCAAGTCTCTAAAAAGTTAGTCAAATTTATTCTTGTTAAGCAAAAATGTCAGACAAATTAGAACCAGGTGATTTCTTTTTCGGAATTGTTAATTAGGAGCGGAAGAATAATGCTTCGTACCAGATGCTGATTGATCGTAAGGTCTCTTACGAGCTGAAAGAGGTGGAGAACCACCGAAATTCTGCTCGGAATTAGGGTTTTGGTGGTGGTGATGTTGGCGGCGATTGTAGTGGTTGCCGTCGCCGAAAAAGTTTCTTCTATGATTGTCGTCGTTACGAGAGATAGTCTCGTCGGAAGGCCAATTCGGCGGCGGAGAATGAGGGTTACGGTGATATTCCGGCTGGTTTCCACGGCGTTCTCCGTTACTCTGGTCCATTGTGCATCACGCGGTAAATTGATATTTGCAGTGTTAATATGGCTTTAGTATTTATATATTTACTCCTATTTTAATTGTTAATATATTCTCTTTTGTTGACACTTTTTTACTTTCTGGAAGTCATTTTAAGTCTTAAAAAATGTTTATGTAACTTTTAAAAATTCGAAGTATTAAAATATTTAGCTTCGAAACTTAATTGTGATGTTTTCCTATCAAATTAATTTTTTAGCTATTAATTAATATCTCTCATCTGTGTGTAAAATTAATATCTTAAACTTCATATCAAATTTCATCCATCAACTAGACATGTTAATTACATTACGTACTAAAAGTGAAAGAAACATTGTAAAGGGACTTGATATTATAGGAAATTTTGATTGGTACATAATATATGGATAGTTTCAAAATTTTGAAGTGATTTTCTTTATTCGAGTTGTCTAATTTTTGTGAGCGTATTAAAAAAAAAATTTTAACAAAGGGCTGCTATTATAAGCAATTTAGTCGGAGAAATAGGAAATTGATTTTACTTGTTTATTTGACCCGAGAGAACCGAAAGGTAATAGGAAAGTTGGTTTTCCGAAACTAAAACCAAAACCAACTAGGAAATGCTCAAATAGGGAAGTCCAATCCCAATCCCACTCTATTCAGGTTATTTCAAGCTCTTATATGTACAGCATGAAATTCTCTGTTTTTAACAATATTACGTAACATTATTGTTCATTCTCTTATCATTCATTCTGTCTACATATCACTCCTCGGGTGCGATTCTTTTCTGAACCACACGTAAACGCGGAATAACTTATGCACCGTTCTGCCTGATGGCTAATTACCTTGTGCCTTTCTATGAATCCCAAATTGAAATTACTGTCACCAAAGAAGCAACAATTGTTGATCATTGGATTCTGCAAACTGTGCACACGCCTCGTCGTAGACTCCACAAACTCCTTATCGGTCTGAATATCAAATGGCTCCCGTGTTCTAAACCCGAGGACGAGGACGAGCACTCAGTTGCTCTTCTCCAGCTCTGCGTTGGCGATCGTTGCCTAATATTTCAACTCCTTCACAGAGATTTCATTCCTCAAAGTTTCATAGACTTTCTCATTGACCCAAATAACACGTTCGTTGGTATTGGAGTTGAGGGAGATGTTGAGAAGTTGTTATGTGATCACGGGTTGTACGTAGCGAATACTGTTGATTTGAACAAACTGGCATTGTTGACTTACGAAGAAGAAGTGTATGGAAAGATGGGTTTGAAAAGAATGGCAAAAGCAGTACTTGGAAAAGTAATGGAAAAGCCAGAGGATGTTACTTTGAGTAAGTGGGATGCTGAGAATTTGAGCTGTGAACAAATTGAATATGGTGCTATTGATGTTTTTGTGTCGTTTGAATTAGGGAAGAATTTGTTTAATATACTGTCGAACAGAGATAGCCGTCGCGTTAAGTTTCAGCCATGGCTGCTGCTAAAAGAGACGTTGATGAGGTTGCAAAATCTTGCTCTTGATTTGAATCTGAAATAAATACATAAACTGAGAAAAGAGATCAAGGACTGATAAGAAAAGTTTTTATTATTAGAATAGATAATTGTAATTACTTTCTCCAGTTTCTTGAGAATTTATACTACATTCATATCATTTTTTTTGCCGAAAAAAATGGGGAGTCTAATGCACCAGAGTCCAGTATATCAAGAGAATGGATGCACTCTATTGTGAAGAGGTGGATCTAGAATTTATATTTGACTGATTTAACTTTAGTCTTTTACCAATGACCCACTACACTTTTAAAATTATAGGTTCAAAATTATATTCTTTTTAAAATTTTAGTAATTTTCACAAATATATCTATATTCAGTGCTGAAAAATAGATTGTTGAGAGGGGAATTTGACTGCCAGTTTCACTTGTAGAGGTGCACCCAAAATAATTGCATTATAATAGTCTTTGAACATGGGTTCACGCACATATATTTAAATAATTTTGAAGAAATATAACATAGTTATACATGATTTTGGATAGGAGTATGGGTTCACGTGAATTCATATTGCTAAACTTGGATACGCCTCTAACCAGGCATCTCACGTCCAAGCAGGAAGGATCGCACCCCAAAGGGTTTGATGTAAAAAGTCTATCTTAATACAAATATTAGTGATTGCTTTTACAATTTTACCGTTGGTCCACACACTCACCTTAAAACTAAATTGTTACTAGTATTACATTGCAAATAGTAACCTTTTGTCAAGACAGAGACTTTAGAGTCAAACTAGTTTAGTTTTTTGGTTTTATGCCTAGTGAAACTGAAAAACCAAAATAAGAGTACGAAAATTAGACAACTCTGACTGAACTCCTTTTTTTTTCCCATCCGATGACTTGTATTCGCTTTGAGATCTGACTAATTCTGATTCGCGTTCAATAATCTTACTTTGGGGTAAAGTGCTCCCAACAAAGGCGATATTGTTAGGGTATATATTGTTAACCATGCATTTAGACATAATATATTCTAATAATTTTCATGGTTAAAAGTCTAAGTGGGAGATTGTTGAAATATATACTATTAACCATAGATTTTGGTTTGGATATAGTATTTATTATGAAATAATTACTTATTCAATTTTAATAAAGTTTTAAATAGGTCATATATCCGTTTGTGTCCTTTACTTATATAGTAGATGATTTAGTGTATAGAGTTTAGCTTATACACGAAAGATTAAATAATCGGTTCTTATGAGTATAAAGATCATGTTCACAATCTAATGATAGAATTGGACAAACCATAAGGAATGATTGTAGCACAAGATTAAATATAATTTATCTTGATTATTGGAATGGTTTAATTCCAACTTCTTGTGCTAGTATATTTTGTATGCATTGAACGGACCAAGTAGAGATAAGTATTTTATATTGACTTAATAAAATAAATTCTCTAGCCATTAAATGTACTTATACTTTTAATCTTGATATAATTATTATTAGCTGTGTATATTATTACTGTTTTGATTTATTAAAATACAAGATCCTTTCGTGGGTCAATATGCCTGGTAAATTGGACAATAATGATATACATTGGCAAAGCAATAGTTAGTTGATGGAATCTAGTCTCGGTCTAGAGATTGATAATATACTTTTATGAAAACTTATAAGTTTTCATGTGTAAGCCCTGCAGGTGGATTTTGTATCCGTCACATGAAATAAGTTAAGCGATAATCTAAAGAAAATAATCAATGAATTAAATTGTTAGTAATTTAATTTATTTGATTAGTATCTGAATCTTTACATGGGGAGTTAAATAAGATTTAATGGAAGAATTTCAAAATTGAATTGAGGAGTGCAATTACGAATTTTTAGTGAAATAATTCGTAATTTATTATGGTAGTATTAATTCGGATATTTCGAATTAAGTCCATAATAGGAAGCCTCTTTAATTAAATACTGCGGTCCTAGTTGTGCCCGAATAATTAAGAATTAAATGGAATTCTATTTCTTGGTGGAAAAGGAAGATCGAACATGTTTAGGAAAAAGTTTTAAACCCTAAAACTTATGGCTATATAAAGGGGTCTTATTCCATAAAGAGGCTATGGTTTTTACTACACGATTTTCCTAGGAGAAACTCGCTCACACGAGTTTCGCTAATTTCGGGCATTATTCGGATTATACAGCAGAAGACCGTGGAGCTGGAGGATGATCTCCTAGATGGTTTTTGCTTATGCTTGAAGGTCTTTTCGCGATCGCAGTCACGTTTCAAGAGATAAGTACCGATTTTATGTTCGATTAAAATCTGTGACTATGTGTTGTCTATATTACATGCAAGTGATCCTGACTATTTGTTTCCGCTGTTTATATCTATTTTCCATCAATTAGTAATCTGGTATCAGAGTTTGCTTGCATCTAACTAGATAACATGATGTATATTTGTATATGTGTTCGATTATATACATGAATATGTTGTTTTTAACATAAGTTCGGTTTTATCAAATTTGTTTTATTATTTGTTGAGTTGTTGTCAATAGCGGGACAATAGTCTAAAACATCATACGGACTTAGTCGAAACCTCAAATCACATCAAATAACGCTAAAATCATAATCACATCCCAATTCAAGCTTAATGAAACATAAGAATTTTCAACTTCTACATTCGATGCCGAAACCTATCAAATCACGCCCGATTGACCTCAAATTTTGCACACAAGTCATAAATGACATAACGGAGCTATGAAAATTTTCAAAACTGGATTCCGACCCCCATATCAAAAAGTCAACTCCCCGGTCAAACTTCCAAACTTAAATTCCTATTTTAGCCATTTCAAGCCTAATTTCACTACGGACTTCCAAATAAAATTTCGATCACGCTCCTAAGTCCAAAATTACCATACAAAGTTGTTGAAATCATCAAAATTCTATTCCGGGGTCATTTACACATAGGTCGATATCCAGCCAACCTTTTTAACTTAAGTTTTAAACTTTGAAACTAAGTGTTCCAATTCATTTTAAAAACCTCATCGGACCTAAACCAATTACTCTGGCAGGTCATATATCAGTTATTAAGTACAAAATGAGTAGTAAATAGGAAAATGGGGCTACAACTTTTAAAATAATTGGCTGGGTTGTTACAACTTCTAAAAACATAGTTTATTAAATAATCCTATTATAGAGAACTGATATTTGTGCTAACAATTACCTTCTTTTCTTTAGAAAAATAAAATAAACCTCCTTTCGTTCCTTTGAATATCCAATAAATGCGCAAACATTCATCCTTGATTTTATCTTATCCGTTTTCCCTTTCAGTGTATATATTGGACAATTTCGTATCCGATGCCGCAGACCGAATTTACATTAAGTCCATAGTTATATAGGGTCCAAGATACTGACTTAGAAAGAACTAAAATTAGAATGTAACTGCAGTTTCAAAGACATATCCATAATGAAAAAAGAAACAAATTAGAATAACTCACCATTAATCTAAACATCTCCATAAGAGTCCTATTTCTTCTCTCTACTACATCGCTATATTATGGAGTATCTGGTGTAGACAATTGAGATATATTCTTCTATTTTGATGAGTAACTAATGAACTTTGTAGAGAAGTGCTAGCCACCTACGATGAGATCGTAGTAATTTAATATATTTTCATGATGCTTTCCCGTATCAAGCCTTAAAATCCTAAAATTATTCAAAGCATTCAGACTTACGGTGCATCAAATATATATTCATATTTTGAATAATCATTTATGAACATCATAAAATGACTCAAAATAACCGCTTGCCTATTTGTTCATTAGACAACACAATCAAAATGGATTACTTCTAACTTATCACTGGCTCTCTTTCCTTTGGAGCAGAGATGTCTCTTAGTCATATTTTCTTCTAAACATGATCCACAAGTTGGTAGTGCCTTTACTTTCAATGATTCTTAGGTTCATCCTTGACCAACTTGACATCCTATCCATATTAATATGACTTAAACAGAAGTGCACTGATAAGTTTTACTCAATTTTGAAGAATATTTTCTCTTATGAGGTAGACTAATATCGTTTTGTTCAGGAGATACATTAATTAACAATAACAAGGTCATGCATCCATGTATCACAAGAGATAAAATATTTACCAAGCTCAATAACACAAGATTTATTCGAAAATAAACCAAATATCCATCTCCTATTTTGCCTAGAAACAGGAATCAATTCCTTCTAGCAAAAGGTATATATTTTGCATCCTTTAAATTAATGTTTTATCGCTATCAAAAAAAATTTTAACAAGTAATACGGTAAATTGCATGAATTTGTTGTGGAGTTGAGATATAACATTAAATAGATCATAATAAGTTAAAATACTGAATAATAAAATTCAGACTGCATTCAATATATATACATACATACATCTCGAATAGCAAATTTCGATGGAAAAAGTGTCATTCATGCAAAGTATGTAATATAATGCAAGAAATATACAATCCAAAAGGAAACAGAACCAACTCGGATGGAGAGTAAACTGTTATTTTCAGTCAATTGTATATACTTTAATATAAAAATTTCAAACGTACTATACACATATATTCATGCACCTTGAATAGAAAAATTCGATGGGAAAAGAACTACTCATGCAACATATATATGTAATGCTAGATCATTCACTCCAATAAATTAAAACAGACCCCAACTCAGATGGAGAGTATACTGTTAATTTAAGTCAAGTAAACATCATAATTAATAGCTCTAGTTCCATTGATCCAACATGTATACTCAGATGGAGAGTAAGTACATGATATCAATAACTAGTATTTACCTAGTGAGCTTACAATAAATATATTCGATATGGAGGAAGACCTAAAGTCGACACGTAAATTTATACTCACTTGAAATTAAAAGTGTGAGATCACTTAATCATGGTTGTATTATAATTAAAAAATTGATTCAACGTGTAAACTCAGATGGAGAGTCAATACATGTTATCAACTACTAGTAATTATACTATATGAGTTCATAATAAATTTATCCGATATGGAGGAAGACCAAAAGTCGACACACACATT